CTTCTTGCCATGAATTTTTAATTCCAATAAAGGAATTGGTATTGTCTTTAGCAAGCATTCAAGGACAAATATTGGTGTTAAGAAGAGTTTGGATAAATCAGTTCAGAGATAGTTGTAAGGCTGACGGTACTGCATGCCTGCAGACAATGCCTGGAGAATCACCTGGATGGATTTGCAAATTTAATTGGAATCCAGTCCTCTGAAATGTGATTTCTTACACTCTGGGATTCAAAATGTTTTCTTAATCTTAATTTCATCAGTGGCTAAATTTTTTATAATTTCCTATTTTGGAAATTAAATAGTGAACAAACAAACAAACTGTTTGAGACATGAATAATTCAACATGGCCCCATTACAAGAAGCAAGCAAAACCTTAGAAATCATTACATAATAATTACATCGACTGTGTCAGTCCCATAAAGATGCTTTGTGCACAGCCATGATATTATTAATTAATATTACATCGAAAGTGAAGGTATTGAGCAAGTGTGTGAACCGTGAACAGCTCTAAAAACTGAAGAGGAACAGAGGCAAAGATAAGCTCATGGCAGAGGTGAAGATGAGTGTGAGGCAGAGGTGAAGCTGAGTGTGAGGCAGAGGTGAAGTGAGTGTGCCAAGTGTGAGGGAAGAGGTGAAGATGAGTGTGAGGCAGAGGTGAAGATGAGTGTGAGGCAGAGGTGAGGAAGAGGCCAAGTGTGAGGAAGAGGTGAAGATGAGTGTGAGGCAGAGGCAAGTGTGAGGCCAAGTGTGAGGAGGCGAGAGTGTGAAGAAGAGTGTGAAGTGTGAGAGGAGGTGAAGATGAGGAAGAGGTGAAGATGAAGAGGTGAGAGGACAAGTGGTGAAGTGTGAGAAGAGGTGAAGGTGTGAGGAAGAAGAGGTGAAGAGTGTGAAGTGAGGTGAAGGATGAGTGTGAGGCAGAGTGTGAGGGAAGAGGTGAAGATGAGTGTGAGCCAGAGTGTGAGGAAGAGGTGAAGAGAGTCCAAGTGTGAGGAAGAGGTGAAGATGAGTGTGAGGCAGAGGAAGAAGCCAAGTGTGAAGGAAGAGGTGAAGATGAGTGTGAGGCAGAGGTGAGAAAGTGAAGAGGTGCAGAGTGAAGAAGGGTGAAGGTGTGAAGATGAAGCAGAGTGAAGGAAGAGGTGAAGGTGAAAACATAGAGGTGAAGATGAAGATGCAGACAAAGGTGAAGTAAACAGAGGTGACAAAGTGAAGATGAAGCAGAGGTGAAGTGAAGATGAGGCAGAAATGAAGACAAGGCAGAGGTAAAGACATTTAACAGACCACCTTTTCCAGCGTATAATACAATGCCTATCAAAAACTAAATAGAACTGAAAAGGTAAATAATCTTGTCTAGGGATGTTTAATTGCAAATTTGACGTCTTCACTGACAAAGTCAGTGTTCATTCACAAGAAGCGATATAATGTCATTTTCTTACCACCAGAAAAGTTTGACAAAAGTGTAACCTGTAGATAAGCCAACATCTTCTACAGACTGCAATCTTTTGGTCTACGGTTATATATGGTAAATAACAAATTTAAAAGCAGACCACCTCTTTACAGCACATTAAAACAGTCTGCCTTTTGGATCAAACCACCTTGACCACCTTTTCAACAACACATCAGACAGTGAGTTAGGGAGTATGGTTTTTCGCCGCTTTTAGCAATATTCCAGCAACATCAAGGCGAGGGACACCAGAAATGGGCTCTAGACATTATACCCATGTGGGGAATCGAATCCAGGTCTTCGGTGTGACGAGCAAACGCTTTAACCACTAGGCTACCCCACCGCCTCTCTGCAGATAGCAGTGACAGAGTCTTCAGTTTTGGCTCAGCTGTGTCCTGACTCTATAATTTCGAAGCTCTCTTAGCACTAAGATAGTGCCATACATTAACATTAACTTACGACTAACTTAAGAGAGCTGAGAGCTTCGGAAATCCAGGCCCTGGTCTCTACAATGACCTTAATCATCACTGATGATGACCACCAAATATTCTGGCAATACAATGACGTTATACTGAAAGCATATGCTACATCTTGCCTGTCTTCAAGGGTTTATTGTTCAACACAACAAGCTACAGATAGCATGTCCTTATCACAGCCATCTGTAGCAGCACAAACATGATGACACAGCAACAGAAATGAAAAGGTACTTGTGCTGAAATGTCACAATAGAGCCTGGCAACTGAGATAGCAACAACACTTCAGCATACATAATGTGACCTTAGAGTTGCCCAAGCACCATGCACACAACTCGCCTGGGGAAATCTGTCTATCATATCTGAATAACCAGAGCAACATGTGCAGGACTTGTCTCGGGATATCAGTTCAGCCCATATACCATGATATCAGAATAACCAGAGCAACATGTGCAGGACTTGTCTCGGGATATCAGTTCAGCCCATATACCATGATATCAGAATAACCAGAGCAACATGTGCAGGACTTGTCTGGGGATATCAGTTCAGCACATATACCATGATATCAGAATAACCAGAGCAACATGTATCGGGATATCAGTTCAGCCCATATACCATGATATCAGAATAACCAGAGCAACATGTGCAGGACAATAAACAATAAAACAATACATTTTCAGATAAATACATCTGTAAAGGATTCTAAGACCGCATGATCATATGTATCTGAAGCCCTGCATGTTATCAGAATAACAAGAGCAACATGTGCAGGACTTGTCTCGGGATATCAGTTCAGCCCATATACCATGATATCAGAATAACCAGAGCAACATGTGCAGGACTTGTCTCGGGATATCAGTTCAGCCCATATACCATGATATCAGAATAACCAGAGCAACATGTGCAGGACTTGTCTCGGGATATCAGTTCAGCCCATATACCATGATATCAGAATAACCAGAGCAACATGTGCAGGACTTGTCTCGGGATATCAGTTCAGCCCATATACCATGATATCAGAATAACCAGAGCAACATGTGCGGGACAATAAACAATAAAACAATACATTTTCAGATAAATACATCTGTAAAGGATTCTAAAGACCGCATGACATATCGTGCATATTTTGTATCCGACATGCACCGATACACCCCGATCACGAAGCCCCTGCATGTTATCAGAATAACAAAGAGCAACATGTGCAGGACTTGTCTCGGGATATCAGTTCAGCCCATATACCATGATATCAGAATAACCAGAGCAACATGTGCAGGACTGGTCTCGGGATATCAGTTCAGCACATATACCATGATATCAGAATAACCAGAGCAACATGTGCAGGAGTACCGGGATATCAGTTCAGCACATATACATGATATCAGAATAACCAGAGCAACATGTGCAGGACTGGTCTCGGGATATCAGTTCAGCCCATATACCATGATATCAGAACAACCAGAGCAACATGTGCAGGACCTGTCTCGGGATATCAGTTCAGCCCATATACCATGATATCAGAATAACCAGAGCAACATGTGCAGGACTTGTCTCGGGATATCAGTTCAGCACATATACCATGATATCAGAATAACCAGAGCAACATGTGCAGGACTGGTCTCGGGATATCAGTTCAGCACATATACCATGATATCAGAATAACCAGAGCAACATGTGCAGGACTTGTCTCCGGGATATCAGTTCAGCCCATATACCATGATATCAGAATAACCAGAGCAACATGTGCAGGACTTGTCTCGGGATATCAGTTCAGCCCATATACCATGATATCAGAATAACCAGAGCAACATGTGCAGGACTTGTCTCGGGATATCAGTTCAGCCCATATACCATGATATCAGAATAACCAGAGCAACATGTGCAGGACTGGTCTCGGGATATCAGTTCAGCACATATACCATGATATCAGAATAACCAGAGCAACATGTGCAGGACCTGTCTCGGGATATCAGTTCAGCCCATATACCATGATATCAAGAATAACCAGAGCAACATGTGCAGGACTGGTTTCGGGATATCAGTTCAGCCCATATACCATGATATCAGAATAACCAGAGCAACATGTGCAGGACTTGTCTCGGGATATCAGTTCAGCCCATATACCATGATATCAGAATAACCAGAGCAACATGTGCAGGACTTGTCTCGGGATATCAGTTCAGCACATATACCATGATATCAGAATAACCAGAGCAACATGTGCAGGACTTGTCTCGGGATATCAGTTCAGCACATATACCATGATATCAGAATGACCAGAGAAACGTGCAGGACTTGTCTCGTGATATCAGTTCAGCACATGTACCATGATATCAGAATGACAAGAGCAACATGTGCAGGACTGGTATGGGGACAAAATATACAAGGTGGGCATAGAAGAGTCAGTAATATGTGCTCTTGAACAGATGAGTTTTCAGCGACTTTTGAAAGCTGTTAGGGAGTCAGAAAGTTTAATGACAGATAGAGAATTCCAGAGACATGAAGCATGATCACTTGCAAAACGATGCCAAACTGATCTTGGAGGCTGTTAACAAGAATTGGTTCTGGGACTGAAGAATTCCGGCTAGGGTGTATTCTGAGATGAGATCAGTGAGATAAGCTGCTTCAAGTCAACACGAGATGCAATAGGAAACCAATGTAGGGATTTCAGGAAAGGAGTTATGTGATCTGACTTGGATTTTAAAGATACAATGCGAGCAGCTGTATCCTTACATCTTAGCAGTTTGTACAGTTAGGCTCTGTTGAGACCTATCAGCAGTCCATTACAGTAATCTAATCGAGACTAGAAAATCTTTCTTCTGTAGTAATGTACTTTCGGATGTTTCCAATCATGTACAGAGGAGAGTAGCATGTTTTACAGAGTCTGTCTACTTGAGCTTCCATGGAAAGATCTGAATCAATCCAGACACCAAATCTTTCACAAGTGTAGAAAACGTAGGTTGGGAAGAGCCGATATTGACCTTACTGTCTATTATCCCAGTCAAGAGTTGAAGATTTCCAACAAGTAGGAAAGTTTCAACTTTAGTTGAGGCAATTTCCATCATTGACCATTATCCCTCTATACTCACCGTGCCCGCAAAGAGTCCGCAGATACTGATGACAAACATGACGTTGTAGATGGCCGAACCTACCACTGTCCCCAATCCCACATCATCCTGAAACAAGACACAATCTTGACATGACTGAAGCAGACTTAGAGCAGAGTCACCACACCAATTTCAACAAGGCCTTGATGGACTATTGCTTACACACCAGACATTATCAATTAACCAGAGAGTGAGTGAGTGAGTTTAGTTTCACGCCGAACTCAGCAATATTCCAGCTATATGGTGTCAGTCTGTAAGTAATCGTGTCTGGACCAGACAATCCAGTGATCAACAGCATGAGCATTGATCTATGCAGCTGTGAGCCAGTCTGTTCCCCTTTCATATACCACTTACACATTTAGAATCTATAGTGACTACCCAATCCCCTTATTCGTTAGCCACATTTCCAAACAGGCCAGTTACAGCACTTTCACTTGTCCTTAACTTTGTCATTTGAAATGAAGGTCTACTACCATGAGACACAGCTATGAATGGAACATTTTACAAACTGAAATGATCTTACTCATGTTAATGAGGTCATAAATTGTAGAGCAGATTGGATTTTATACTTCTTCCAAGTATACTCATTCAATGTATTTGTCCAAACTTGACAACGACAGAAGAAAAAAACTCTGACCAAGCACAATGGAAACCAATGAGGTTATAAAAGCAAGCAACTACAATCACTCAGTGCTTGCTGGTCACCTGACTACAGTTCTCACACAGGACCCAGAGCAAGACACTTACCACAGCACACAGTAGGCCTTTGGCAGCCTGGTGAACATGAGTTAAACTCATTACTGCGTGAGTGCGAGGTTAACACAATACCGTGATTCAATCAGTTGACCCTATGTTCCTCACCTTGGCTATGAAGACCCCTATTACAGCTGTAGCTAGCTCAGGAGCGGAACTCCCAGCTGCCATGAAGGTTGCACCAGCTACATCAGATTGCAGGTTTAGATCTGAAACAATTCAAGCAGCTCCATGATGCAAGCAAACTACAAGTAAAACTAAAGGGACAGACCCTAAGCTATCCTTTGGAATATCATTTGGTATATGTATGTTTATAAACAATTGTTGGGGATAGGTCAGGTATATTCTTGCAAAAAGTGACATAGGAAATTCAGAATTTAAACAGTAAATGCTAATTAAACAATTCCGCACTTGGTTTATCAGTATGAGTTGCTGACAACAACCGGCATCTTAAACATGGCTGATTGTATACAATCTGCTAGAGAAATACATTTGTCTCCAGAGTAATAGTAAAATATGTATTGGTCAAGCATGCCGGAAGTGTAAATAAGCCAAGTTGCCATGTTAAATATACTCTTTAATGTAGTGAGTAAGTTGGGTTATACGTAGCTTTTAGCAATATTTCAGCAATATCACGGCAGGAGACACCAGAAATAGGCTTCACACAATATACCCATGTGGGGAATCAAACCTGGGCCTTCGTCATGACGAACAAACACTTTAACCAATGGGCTACCCCACTGCCCCCACCCCTTGATGTTACAAAAACCTCAAACATGACCTTGGCCCATGGTAGCATCAGGGGTGGTGGGGTAGCCTAGTGGTTAAAGCGTTGGCTCGTCACGCCAAAGACCCGGGTTTCGATTCCCCACATGGGTACAATGTGTGAAGCCCATTTCTGGTGTCCCCCGCCGTGATGTTGCTGGAATATTGCTAAAAGCGGCGTAAAACCAAACTCAGTCAGTTAGTCAGTGGTAGCATCAAAATTGGTGGTAGAGTTTGTAAAGATACATGTAAATGTAAAGATTCATGCTTATTGACATGAAACCATTGCTCAAAAACTGAACTGAAGACGTGATGATATAACCATGACTTAAGGTGACCTACTCCTTTGTCAATCTTTGAGAAGGTACTACACCAATTTTAATACTTCTTGTTAAGTGTAATTACAAAGTTTTGAGTGACCTTTTATCAATTTCATGACCTGGACCATTGACATTCTCCTGACATCTTTCTAACAAATTCCCACGGGCATTTGGAATGATAATCTCTGATGTCAACAATCTTTCTGTAGTCATCAAGAGATGGTAGTGGCAGTCGTTGTAAAATGTCAAAGAAAAACAACTGCTATTGGCTAAGACAATCAGGGCCTAGATTTTCGAAGCTCTCTTAGCGCTGAGATAGTCGTAAGTGCCATACATTAACATTAACTTACGACTATCTTAGTGCTGAGAGAGCTTCGAAAATCTAGGCCCTGGTTCCTCTGTCTAACAATCTAACTGACCTCATCTCTGAAATGCCTGGCTATATGGAGGTGCATCAGAGTTACAACATTTGTCAGTGAGACTGCAGAAAAACACAGGGAGATAACTGTCTAACAGCTATTGACAATATTCTCTTCATATCCCAGTAGGTTTGGTAAATGCCAGGCATACCACAAACCTATGCTGGAACATGTTCTCATGAATTGTTTCCTGATACTGTTGTGGGCTCAAACAGGTTTGGGTGAATGGCTTCATGACAGCGTTGTGGGCTTTAAGAGGTAGCTTTTCATTTTGGAGTTAAAAGCTTTGACACTAAATCAGAATAAAACTAGAGCAGAAGAGTGCAATCAATCTCCAGCACTTTCATAAATATTCACACACCTCCATGATGCTTCTATCACTTTCAGACTATCAGTGCCGTGTCAATGAACCTCTTGCAGCCTTATAAGAACATCAGCACTGGATTCAGTGGCTTAATCATCTCTGCCATGGTGTGATTACTAGTTGGTGTAATTATGGAGCAGCAACAGCAACTGCACCATTCACTGCCAACATCATGGCGTCTGCATCAGTCTACAGTCATTCTTATTGCAGTACTCTACATTCAAGTATTTTACATTCAGATCTCCTCCAAACCTACAGCAAATGCACTCATACGGTCACTAAAGGGTGTTCCTGGTTTGAATGGGATCTAGCACATGCATGTCCTATGACACCTGGCCAAACTAAACTAGGAGGACAGAATGGGTGATCAGCGATGTACACATTGCAGAGGTTGACTCTCTGCAAGGTACCTAGACTGATTCACACTAGGTCCCTTAGCAGTAGTGAGTTGGGGTTTACGTCACTTTTACAATGTTCCTGCAATACCACAATAGGGAGACACCAAAAATAGGCTTTGCACATTATGTGGGGAATCAAATCAAACATCCTGTGGGGTAATCAAACATCCTGTGGGGAATCAAACCTGGGCTTTCAGCATGACAAGTAAATGCTTAACCACTAGGCTACTCCACAACCCCCTTAGGACCCTCAGCACACTAAAACCTAGTGCTTGAACTTCAATGACCACTGATTCCATAAACTTCCAAAGAAAGTGATGGCTCTCAAACATGCTTCAAGTTGACAATCAAATCTTCAATAAACACACCCTTTCATGTTCTTGACGTACACTGCAAATATTTGGGTGTGTACTAGTGTCAGACCATTGGTCCTGCAGACGTCCCGCCTAGTTAAAAGATACTTCTCAATAACAAACAGTATGTTTATCAGCAATTTGATTATTTGACACATGCCCAATGCCTACTGGTACACTGAAATTTTGGCCAACTAGCAAAAAATCAGATGGTATCATTTTTTCACATTGTTAACAGTTAAGAGTCTTTGGGACTACCATTTGTTATCAGACGTCACACTGGTTTGAAATAAATCTACAAAATGACGATGTTTGGAAAATAGGTTAACAATTACAAGCATGGGTGTGCTACTGACAGCCTAATGCAAGCAGTACCTAGACTTCTCAACCATTATCAATCATCACAGCTTAGCATTGAATGAACTTGGGGACGCTTTGGACAAGACCTATTACTACTAGTTGTGAAGAAACCTATACTTATGAAACTAAAACCTGCATTCCTCTAACAATATGTATTGATAATATCTAAAAACACAATTACTGTTTTCCATCTGTCTAGCTCATCAGCTGATGAAACCTGCATGTTTTATACACATGCTATTTGCTAATACAATAATATTCCACCAGTTTCCATTATAGCTGATGATACTGGAAAAACACCTATCTGAGAAGCCGTATGCATGACTTCCAATGGTTCAAACTTGACATTTACAATAAGAAAAACAACATGGGTGAAAATGATCAGCCTGCACCACATGGCCTTGACCTTACCACATTTCAGGGACAGACAGATTGAAGTCGATTAAGAATTTATGCACTTCCAGATATTAAATTTTTCCATCGAAAGGTCACATCTTAGACTGAGAGCAATGATTCTGCATGCTAGAAGACAGAAACCAACTTTAATATTGGTCTCTTTGCCATTATCACGTGCTAGCACTTTCAAGACAATGCCCATCACCAGGCCTTGGGGATTATCTCAGTCTGCTATTGATTACCTGACATTGACAACAATCCCACACTGATCAGGTACGGCTGAGACTGCTGCAATACAATCCTGAGCAAACAGACTTGTTGGATCAGGCCTAAAACAGTGTATATGTATACACAGAGCCACAACACCACCAGCAGATGTCATCGGGTGCAAGTCAATAGCAGTGATGAGGAGGCAGTTTCTGTACAGTTGTGGTACATGTAAAACTGTACCAGTCAATAGTACAATCTCTGATCTGTAGGGACAACATTCAGACCTCATTATAACAGAACTTTAAATCTGTACCTACAACATTCACACATCTGATAAAACAGACCCAGATCTGTTCCTACAACTTTCACAGAACTAAAAAAAAATCAGATCTGTACCTACAATACTCACAGAACTCATAAAAGATTGATTGATTGATTAACACCGCACTAACGCATTCCAGCTATAGGGCATCGGTCTGTAAATAATCGACTCTGGACCAGACAATCCAGTGATCAACAGCATGAGCATCGAAATTCACAATAGGGATACGATGACGTGTCAACCAAGTCAGCGAGTCTGACCACCTGATCTTGCTTGTCGCCTCTTACGACAAGCACACTCATAAAACAATCTCAGATCTGTTCCTACAACATTCACTACGCAATATCTAACCTGTGTGTTCAACATGCTACAATAACTACGGCACCCCTACTGCAACTGTGCTTTTACCAAACTATTGAAACATTCCCCACAAATACAATACTTGTATACCCTATACTATATCCCCCTTTGCTGCCTGAAATGGCACCATAATTGTGTTTGGGTGACAATACATCAGTCGTGCTACAACATTGACATACAGACTGACAATCAATCCAACATGACTGGAGATTCAATCATACTTCATACCACTAACTAGGTTTATCTGGAGCGAGTCTCATTAAGCACATTCCCCTTAGCTGTCATCCATCCTTGTTTCACACCAACCTGAGACATCATTAAGCATCGCCTCGGCACTGTCGCCTACCAGTGCTTAATGTCATATTTATCAGGGACAATGCGCTAAATGTCAAATATCCTGAAATATTTGCACTTAAAATGAACTGTTTTGGTGTCAACTTGATGCATAATGTTGTTGGTTACATTTCTGAGGATTGTATACTGTCATTGTATTATTCTTTAAATCTTTTTCACTTTTAATCAGTCAGTATGATGTAAAGCTGGTTTTAGCAATATTCCAGAAATATCAACAAAGGGGCACCAAAAATGGGATTCACTCATTGCAATCATGTTGAGCATGGAACCTGGGTCTTCGGCATTATGAGTGAATGCTTTAACCATTAGGCTACCCCCCCGCCCCTTCTGAGCAAACGGACGCCGCTACCCACCGCTCTGAGCCCACCGCTACTCCCACCTTCTTCTGCTGAGATTCGGCTAACCCACTACACATTTTTTTCGCTTTTAAGAAAATGCATCCCCACATACATTTGTATTTTAATGCAATAAGAAATCTGTGTCCCGCCATGGGTCTTCATACCCTCAAAGTTTCAGGATTATTCATGTAGCTGGTCAAACATTAACAGTCCAACTACAGATAATGCATTACATAATAAACCCACTTTCACCTTTAAAATCCATGTGAGTTAAAGATACAAAAACACATTGACACCAGTGTCACATGCCATCATAAATGTTGGAAGAATCACACTTGTTTCATTTCAATAGCGCATGTTACAGTCTAACACAGTACATTCCTTAAAGGTCTGCATTGACCCGTTAAGATCTGAGTATGAATGTGTCTTCAGCAACCCATGCTTGTCGTAAGAGGCTACTAACAGGATCAGTGGTCAGACTCACCGACTTGATTGACACATGTCATCGTATCCCAATTGTGTAGATTGATGCTCATGCTGTTGATCACTGGATTGTCTGGTCCAGACTCGATTATTGACAGATTGACGCCATATAGCTGGAATCTTGCTGAGAGCAACGTTATACAACAAACCAAACCGAAGGCCTGCATTACAAAAGTGCAGCAAGGTAGTTTACTTGACAAATATCTTGCAACTTAAAGTCACCAAGTGTCCTTCCTAAGAATTTTTTAGTTATGAGAAGGGAAACAGATCCTAAGGATGTTTGGACATTTAGCTCATATATTGCTACTCACAAGCTTTGAGTGGGATAGACATTTGACATACTGACAACTCTCCAACATGAAGGGGCATATACACCAAGATCCTGCCATGATAACCTCAATCAAGAAAATAATTGTAATCCATAATTGCATTTTCAACTCCCTGGAGAGTATTCACAAACTGCCAATTGGAACCATGGGAATCACAGTGTAATATTAACCTTCAAGTATGTGATGTGTGTGAAACTCTTGAATGTGGACTTTCTACACTACAATCATCTCAACACAGGGGTTCAAAAATCCCATCGCCCGGCGAGAACTGTACAGTAAGGTTGGGGAAACACTATTTTCCATTTATGCTGTCTCTACATCTCCCGAAATAACTTCCTGCTCCAAGAAGCAACACCCACAATGTGTGGAGACGTCACCACCGGGAGCATGGCAAGGCATCACTAAAGACACCATACAATAATGACACCATACAAGAAAACAATTGGCTCAACAGATACAATGTATTTACTTTACCAAATTGTTCCACTGTCAAGGATATAATAGTCTTTGAACGGCATTTAGAAGTATATAATACATCATATGATTGATCAGCATGATGTCAGTGCTAGTCTTGGATTTAAATATACAAGATGGTTCATTGATCCTGGGGTTAAAAAATATACCATTGCCTGACGCCCTGGTCAAATGGAATTCTCTCGTCAGTCAAGTAAATATCCACATTAAACTTTACCGTGCTACAGTAGTGCCAGACTACTGAAATGTATGTATTTTGATGAGGAAATAAAAATGCAATTGTCTGTTGTTTATAAATGATAAAGATTATTTGCAGAAGAAACCAATTTGTTAATTGTGGTCAAGTGAAATTAATATTTGGTCAAGTGGATTTTGAAAGTTTACTGGACCTGTGTCCAATGGAGTTTTGAAAAAAAAAAATCAACCCCCGTGATCTATTCTTATACAAACAATCAATCTGTCTCCTTGTGAAGAATCTGAAACGTTAGTTGTTCAAGCAGAAAAATAATAGTTAGTTTAGAGATGATTGCCCTAAAACTCAGATTATCTGGTGAAACAGAATTATAGATTATTTTTTTATTTCCATTCTTCAACAAGAAAAAGCACCAATGGACTGAATACCAGACTAAGATACAACTAATGCAGGACTGACATGGAACTTTGGCAGAATTAACACAGAACTAATGCAGAATTAACACGGACCAGCGCAAAACTAACACAGAACTAATACAGCACTGACACAGAACCCATACACTATTGACATGGAACTAATACAGGATTAACACAGAACTAATACAGGGTTAACACAGAACTAATGCAGAATTAACACAGACCAGTGCAGAACTAACACAGAACTAATACAGCACTGACACAGAACTAATACAGCACTGACACAGAACCAATACAGCACTGACACAGAACCAATACACCACTGACACAGAACTAATACACCACTGACAATTATTGGAACTAATACAGGATTAACACAGAACTAATGCAGAATTAACATGGACCAGTGCAGAACAAACACAGAACTACTACAGTACTGACACGGAACTAATACACCACTGACATGGAACTAATACAAGATTAACACAGAACTATTGCAGAATTAACACGGAACTAAGAATTAATGCAGAACTCACACGGAACAAATACAGGATTAACACAGAAATAATGCAGAATTAACACAGACCAGTGCAGGACTGACACAGAATTAATGTAGGGTGTATACAGGATTTATACAGGATTAATGAAGGGTATAAACAGGATTTATACAGGGATGAAAGAGGACTAACAAAATATTAATGCAGAGCACATACAAGATTCTTACAGGATTAATGCAGGGTACATATGCGATTCATATAGGGTTATTGCAGGGCATATAAGTGATTCATATACTATTAATGCAGGACATATAGATGGCTCATACAGGATTTATGCAGGGCATATACATGGTTCATACATGATTCATACCTGTCTAACTGAGGACTAATAGAGGGTACATATGGGATTAATACAGGATTCTTACAGGGTGAACACAGAATAACACCAAGAACAGACACCATTGTCAACAAGGTAATAATGGAGAATGAAGCTGAAGGCATGCCTAAAATCGAAAGGTCAGCCATTTTCAGAAATCTAGTTACAAGAGAGCCGCCAGCCCGTGGGGAGACAGCCATGTTCTCCAGACTGTTGGTCAGTCTGCCACTGTAATGTTCTCAACAAGCACTCTGTGACACAGCTAACGGTAATATGTGGCTAACAATGGAATTAGGAGGACAGGCGTTTTTTCTCTTCCACTGTGCCCATCACCTTACTTCCAAAGTCTTGCTTTAGGTCAAGGGGTCAAAGATTCATAAAGTTTCAGGCAAACATTGAGCGACTGATGTAAACGTGAAAGCAATTAACAAGATTAATTAAGGAGCCCTACTCAGGATGTTACTGACATGCAGAATAACCTTCTCACAATTAACAAGATTAATGACATATCTGTCCCTTGCAAAATAATGTCCATAAGCTCCTTTAATGTATTTTGACATAATTAATTTAATTCTTTATAGCAATTGGTGATTGTGAGAGTATTTGCAGGTGCACTGTTCATGTTGCAGTGTCTTACCTAGATGTAATGATTATACGAAACAGATGTTTCAAATATCTCATGAAAAAACATGAACATGTCAATATTTTGAATACTGAATATCTAAGGTTGAAAAGCTGACTTGGAAATATTACTGAACATCTGCGTTGTTTGTCTCATATAACGTAAATCATCATGTTTCTGTCTAGGCTACTCCCACAAGTAAACAGACACGTTTGTGCTCTACACACCTGGCACCAGCAGACATGAATACTTACGATCACAGAGAATTTCCAAGGAAGGCACAAAATAGTAATCACACACAATGGCCAGGGCCAGGAACATGTATACACATATGAGGATATGGACAGCTATGGCTCCTTGTTGGCGCTGTTGCTGTGTGAAGAATCCCTTGGGAAACTGTTCCACTGCTCGTGGTGTGCAGTTGGGCAGGGTCGTCAACAGGTGCCGTGACAACACTGGAACAAACAAGAAAATATATATACCCGATTTATGGAGGAATGATGAAATGAACATTGCTACATAAATCATTAAGAAATAATTGTTGCAGGTTTTGAAAAGTGACCTGATTTAATATCAATGTTTGTCAAGTTAACTTTGTCTAGCAATCAGCAGTATTACACCTGGACCCCAACAGCCTGTAAATAACAATAGGGTCTGAGCACCGATGTTTCAGGTGAGAAACTAAGAAGAAATGGTCATTTTGTCCTGCCATGCAATAAGTGGGTGAGTTTAGATTTACGCCGCACTCAGCAATATCCCAGTTATATGGCAGCTGTCTGTAAATAATCGAGTCTGGACCAGACAATCCAGTGATCAACTGCATGAGCATCGATCTAAGCAACTGGGATACGATGACCAGGGCTCCAGATAATTTTTCAACATCAAGAGTATGTACTCCAAAAAACTTAAGAGTACATTTAGAGTACTGAATGAAATTTAATGGCGTATCAGTAATCTTGTGTTTCGTTTCATATATGCACCACAACATTGCTACTCTTGTGTAAACAGCTAAAACAAACAATAAAACAATACTTTTTCAGATAAATACTACGGATGTCATGATACATAAGTTTCATGAACCAATACGTATCACGATACCCATGTCACAATTCAATACGTATCACGATACCAATTTTCGCAGCATTATTGCGTAAATTTAGTGGCATCCGTATCGTGGCATCCCTAATAAAAACATCTGCAAATGATTCTAAGACCGTACACCATTGCTGTGGTGCGTATCTGCTACGTTTTCTAAATTATTTCCTACCGTATCATGCATATTTTTTATCCGTACATACGACGATACGGTCATTTAGAAAGTGGTAAAATGTAACAAATGTTACATTTGTAATTACTGTTACCCATCCGGTACATATTTGGGTTGAGTCACATCCAAGTTTTCAACCCACTCTCACAGAGTGAGACACTAAATCGCCAGCACACAAAGCCAGTGATCTAACCTACTTATCCACCAAGTTTTACCAAGATGGAAGTCTGACAACTGGTAGTCTAGACCAATTACTTTGTTATCTCTGTGAAAAGTTTAGTGGGCACTAGAAGCCATGACAAATGTAGATACGTCCAGGTAAGGTCATCAAGTCAACCAAAAGGACAGACAATGGAATGGTCAAAAGTGTGAAATTAAACAAACACTTTAATGTATATCAGTAATCACAGTAGAAATTAAATCAGTGAATAATCCTACAGCAAAACACCATTTCATAAGTGGTCTGACCCTTGTTGATCACAATTATGAATAATCAGATGTATATCAGTAATCAACATAATCCTACAGCAAGACACCATTTTTCCTACAGCAAGGGTAAAATGTCACCATTTACCAATAATCCTACAGCAAGACACCATTTAGACATAATCCTACAGCAAGACACCATTTAGACATAATCCTACAGCAAGACACCATTTAGACATAATCCTACAGCAAGACACCATTTAGACATAATCCTACAGCAAGACACCATTTAGACATAATCCTACAGCAAGACACCATTTAGACATAATCCTACAGCAAGACACCATTTAGACATAATCCTACAGCAAGACACCATTTAGACATAATCCTACAGCAAGACACCATTTAGACATAATCCTACAGCAAGACACCATTTAGACATAATCCTACAGCAAGACACCATTTAGACATAATCCTACAGCAAGACACCATTTAGACATAATCCTACAGCAAGACACCATTTAGCCATAATCCTACAGCAAGACACCATTTACCAATAATCCTACAGAAAGACACCATTTAGCCATAATTCTACAGCAAGACACAATTTTAGCCATAATCCATTATGCTACTTCTCCAATGAAGAAATATTGAACAGATTTAAAGCAAAGGATTAAAGTGCATGAATCTGATGCTGATTCTCATTGAAATTCACATTCTTTAATAATAAGTTTCAAGTTAACTTTGGTCCTTATTAGCAATATCTCATTCATAGATGTTCCATACATATCCTTTATCATTCCTCAATTACATGCAAGATTAATTGCAGGTAATAAAAGTGAAGTAAAATGAAAAGACAGATGCATTTTCTGGTTGTTAGGTGCAAAATCATCAATTATTTTGGACATCTTGAATATTTTCTCTACATATTAGGAATTTCAGTGGAACTGAATCAATAACTGGAAGCATCCTCAGTAATTCAAACCCTAGATGAAGTGCATACACATGAAGCCTGGAACGTGTTGCAACCAGACAGACCAAGACTTCATTTAATCACAAGATGCAGTATCATCAGATGGTTGTGTGTATCATTCAGATCAATATTCAGTACTCTCTTCCACCCAGGAAAATCCGGGCTAGAATTGGTCTTTTTACCCATGCTTGTCTTAAAAGGCGACTAACGGGATCGGATGGTCAGGCTTGCTGACTTGGTTCACGCATGTCATCATATCCCACTGCATAGATCTATGCTCATGTCGTCAATCACTGGACTGTCTGGTCCAGACTCAATTATTTACAGATCGCCTTCATTGACTACTGCTGAGTGGGGCATTAAACAACAAACACAGGCAAGAGACAGATGCTTATCACACAGAAAACATGTTACATACGAAGAGTGGGGCACTGGTTCTTATATTGATGGGATCACTGGATTGTCTGGTCCAGACTCGATTATTTACAGACCACCCTATATAGCTGGTATATTACTGAGTGTGGCATTAAACAACAAACCAACCAACCAACCAACCAACATATTGATGGCTGGGTTGTTGTACTATATCTAGTTTACAGGATGAAAATAAGCCTGTTCTATAAATTGGATGATGTATTGCTTATGATTTCTACCCTTTGTCCATGTTAATGTTTCGTGTTCTTATTACAAGAATATTTATGGCATAAACATTAAAATATCATTGAATATATACACGCAGTTGGTCATTCTCAACACTTACTTCCCTACAGACAGGATAGAAAGTTGGACAAACATTTATATAATGCAAGATACATATACACATTCTTCAACAATTTGATCACTGTCATAGTATAAACTTCATTTAATGTGAATGTTAGGATTTTCAAGTGGTTGATAAAACATTGTTTTAAAGAAGATAGTATATAAACATTTATACACCAGCAGCATTTTTAACAGTGTTGATTTCCAAAGCCACAGGTTGAGACACCACATTGTTTAAAAATGTAACAATTCATGGGTACCTATTTCAGTTTACCCATTTCTACTTCATGTTCAGTGCTTTATATGTCAAGTCAAAAACTTGTGTGAATGTGTATGTTTCATTTAATGGCATAAAAACCTGTACTTCCTGTTAAGAAAACAACTTAAAAACAGAGGTAACTCTTTGCAGCTTGATCTTTTGTTTCAACTTATATTGTATCTATAATCTGAAGAGTTCAGTATAAATGCTCAGTTCCAGACTGTGGTACCCTGGCTGAAGTCTTTCTCCTGTAACTGGATATGTAGAAATAATAATTTCAATTACTACTAAACAGATAAGACACTGATTGCGACTGTATTTTGTTTGTAATTTGATCGGCTATTTCTATTAAAAGTGAGAACATACTCTGTAGTTTGGTTTCTCTCTGCTGGCTTGCTTTGGTAAGCATGTATGTGCATCCATGTAAAATGCACCTTTTTCTACACTATTATAGACAAACTGAGAGTGTGGGCACAAGGTCGGCTGCAGGCTGTGTAGTTTACAAGAGCAACCAAAAATAAGCCGAATACTTATCAACATGACAAAAACATTATGGGCATCACGTCTTGTTTGTTGTCTCTGTGACCTGTGAAGATCAGGGTAAGAATTGGTCTTCAGTAACCCATGCTTGTCGTAATAGGCGACTAATGGGATCGTGTGGTCAGGCTCGCTCACTTGGTCGACATATATGTCATCATATCCCAATTGCGTTGATTGGTGCTGATGTTGTTGATCACTGGATTGTCTGGTCCAGACTCGATTATTTACAGACCGCCGCTGTATAGCTGGAATATTGCTGAGTGCAGCGTTAAACAACAAAAGAAACATAATATGATTGAGTGAGTGAGTGAGTGAGTGAGACCAGATATGACAGGTACCACACTGGACGACCAGGGTACCGTACCACACCCGGATGACCAGGGTACCGTACCACACCCGGATGACAGGGTACCTTACCACACTGGATGACAGGGTACCAAACCACTCCAGATGACCAGGGTACCGTACCACACTGGATCACCAGGGTACCGCCAGGGTACCATACCACACCGGATGTCCAGGGTAGCATACCACACTGGATGACACCGGATGACAGGGTACCGAACCACACTGGATGACAGGGTACCGTACCACACCGGATGACAGGGTACCGTACCACACTGGATGACAGGGTACCGTACCACACTGGATGACAGGGTACCGTACCACACCGGATGACAGGGTACCGAACCACACCGGATGACAGGGTACCACACATGACACACCGGATGACAGGGTACCGCGTACCACACACTGGATGACAGGGTACCGAACCACACCGGATGACAGGGTACCGTAACCACACCGGATGACAGGGTACCGAACCACAGCGGATGACCAGGGTAGCATACCACACTGGATGACAGGGTACCGTACCACACTGGATGACAGGGTACCGTACCACACTGGATGACAGGGTACCGCACCACACTGGATGACAGGGTACCGTACCACACCGGATGACAGGGTACCGAACCACAGCGGATGACCAGGGTAGCATACCACACTGGATGACAGGGTACCGTACCACACTGGATGACAGGGTACCGTACCACACCGGATGACAAGGTACCGAACCACAGCGGATGACCAGGGTAGCATACCACACTGGATGACAGGGTACCGTACCACACCGGATGACAGGGTACCAAACCACACTGGATGACCAGGATATAGTACCATGACCAGGGTACCGTACCACGCCCGGATGACAGGGTACCATACCACACGCGGATGACAGGGAACCGTACCACACCGGATGACCAGGGTATCGTACCACACCGGATGACCATTGTACCGTACCACACCGGATGACCAGGGTATAGTACCAGGACCAGGAACTGCTCCACACAGGATGACCTGGGTACCGTACCACACCCGGTTGACAGGGTACCGTACCACACAGGATGACCACAGTACCATACCACACCGGATGACCACGTTACCGTACCACACCAGATGACCATCGCACCATACCACACCGGATGACCACGGTACCGTACCACACCGTATGACCATCGTACCGAACCACACCAGATGACCAGGGTACAGTACCACACCCGGATGACAGGGTACCATACCAAATCGGATGACAGGGTATTGAACCACACTCAAATTTCTGTCAAAACATGATGGTTTTAGAGTATAAACAAATGTTCTTATGTCTTATCCAGTTTTCATTATCAACAGGGCAAGCCATAGGTATCGTATGATGGGGACATCTGTCTGGAGGGTGACACTGGGCATGCGGCGTAAGCAGTAGGCCTCCTGCTGTCACAAATTAACACTAATAACAGCTCCCTCCAACCCCGCGAGGGTCAAGTAAACAAAATGAGGAATACAGCTCCCTCCAACCCCGCCAGGGTCAAGTAAACAAAATGAGGAATACAGCTCCATCCAACCCCCGCCAGGGTCAAGTAAACAAAATGAGGAATACAGCTCCCTCCAACCCCATGAGGGTCAAGTAAACAAAATGAGGAATACAGTAAACAAAATGGGGAATCCCTCCCATGAGGGTCAAGTAAACAAAATGAGGAATACAGCTCCCTCCAACCCCGCCAGGGTCAAGTAAACAAAATGAGGAATACAGCTCCCTCCAACCCGCCATGGGGTCAAGTAAACAAAATGAGGAATGCATCTCCCTCCAACCCCATGGGGTCAAGTAAACAAAATGAGGGTCAAGTAAACAAAATGAGGAATGCATCTCCCTCCAACCCCATGAGGGTCAAGTAAACAAAATGAGGAATGCATCTCCCTCCAACCCCATGAGGGTCAAGTAAACAAAATGAGGAATGCATCTCCCTCCAACCCCATGAGGGTCAAGTAAACAAAATGAGGAATACAGCTCCCTCCAACCCCATGAGGGTCAAGTAAACAAAATGAGGAATACAGCTCCCTCCAACCCCATGAGGGTCAAGTAAACAAAATGAGGAATGCATCTCCCTCCAACCCCCATGAGGGTCAAGTAAACAAAATGAGGAATGCATCTCCCTCCAACCCCATGAGGGTCAAGTAAACAAAATGAGGAATACAGCTCCCTCCAACCCCATGAGGGTCAAGTAAAACAAAATGAGGAATACAGCTCCCTCCAACCCCATGAGGGGGTCAAGTAAACAAAATGAGGAATACAGCTGCCTCCAACCCCATGGAGGGTCAAGTAAACAAAATGAGGAATATAGCTCCCTCCAACCCCATGGGGGTCAAGTAAACAAAATGTGGAATACAGCTCCCTCCAACCCCATGAAGGTCAAGTAAACAAAATGAGGAATACAGCTCCCTCCAACCCCATGGGGGTCAAGTAAACAAAATGAGGAATACAGCTCCCTCCAACCCCATAGGGTGAAGTAAACAAAATGAAATGCAGCTCCTCCAACCCCATGAGGGAATAAACAGAATGAGGACAATAGCTCCTCCAACCCCATGGGGTCAAGTAAACAAAATGAGGAATATCAGCTCCCTGAGGAAAGCCCCAACCCCAGGGTCAAGTAAACAAAATGAGGAATACAGCTCCCTCCAACCCCATGAGGGTCAAATAAACAAAATGAGGAATACAGCTCCCTCCAACCCCATGAGGGTCAAATAAACAAAATGAGGAATACAGCTCCCTCCAACCCCATGGGGTCAAGTAAACAAAATGAGGAATACAGCTCCCTCCAACCCCATGGGGTCAAGTAAACAAAATGAGGAATGCAGCTCCCTCCAACCCCATGGGGGTCAAGTAAACAGAATGAGGAATACAGCTCCCTCAAACCCAATGGGGGTAAAGTAAACAAAATGAGGAATATAGCTCCCTCCAACCCCATGGGGCTCAAGTAAACAAAATGAGGAATGCAGCTCCCTCCAACCCCATGGGGGTCAAATAAACAAAATGAGGAATACAGCTCCCTCCAACCCCATGAGGGGTCAAATAAACAAAAAGAGGAATACAGCTCCCTCCAACCCCATGAGGGTCAAGTAAACAAAATGAGGAATGCAGCTCCCTCCAACCCCATGGGGTCAAGTAAACAGAATGAGGAATATAGCTCCCTCTAACCCAATGGGGGTAAAGTAAACAAAATGAGGAATATAGCTCCCTCCAACCCCAGCGGCTCAACAAACAAAATGAGGAATACAGCTCCCTCCAACCCCATGAGGGTCAAATAAACAAAACGAGGAATACATCTCCACCAACCCCATGAAGGTCAAATAAACAAAGAGAGGAATGTAGCTCCCTCCAACCCCATGGGGGTCAAATAAACAAAATGAGGAATACAGCTCCCTCCAACCCCATGAGGGTCAAATAAACAAAAAGAGGAATGCAGCTCCCTCCAACCCCATGGGGGTCAAGTAAACAAAATAAGGAATACAGCTCCCTCCAACCCCATGAGGGTCAAATAAACAAAATGAGGAATACAGCTCCCTCCAACCCCATGAGGGTCAAATAAACAAAAAGAGGAATGCAGCTCCCTCCAACCCCATGGGGGTCAAATAAACAAAATGAGGACAATAGCTCCCTCTAACCCCCATGGGGGGTAAAGTAAACAAAATGAGGAATATAGCTCCCTCCAACCCCAGGGGGTCAAGTAAACAAAATAAGGAATACAGCTCCCTCCAACCCCATGAGGGTCAAATAAACAAAATGAGGAATACAGCTCCCTCCAACCCCATGGGGGTGAAGTAAACAAAATCCATCTGCAAAGTATAGTACAAGGTGGCCGGAAACTGTACATTACAATCCATTCTGAAACACTGTTGGTTTTTATAGATTTCTTATAAATATATACCTCGATCGTTCTGTATCGATATTGTAATCCCTTAGAGCCCTTGACAGCTACGTATGTGCGTATTTCCTTAAATAAACACCTGACAACTGATTGTATAACTGTAAATGTACTGTTTCTCACACTGAAATGTGGAAACGGTAAGTCGAGTCATTCACAACCTGGCCTACCTCTCGGCCTGTAATAGTATACACATGAGCGATTTCAATCACTATACAATAGGCCAGCAAGAGGGCAACACCGCAGCTCTATAAACAGTACAGCTCCTGTGCCACGTAAGACTCCCATGGGATCTTGACAATCAATAACTTCCGCAGCAACCTGCAATACCACAAACTGTTGGTTCCTACCTTGGGTCTGCCAAACGCTGTCAGGGTCCGGGGGAATCCCCTCGGCCCCCTCCAAGCCTTCCTCCGGGAGCTTGGGGGAACCTGACAGCCAAAACATTCGCCATGCTGTCAGAGTAACCAGTCCTACAGAAAATATCAACACACGAATGTGTACCGGAGATCGTCGGATCCGCATGCCTCATTCCTCTAATGTGAACCGTTTATCTGCGAGTGTTGCCGATCTCATCTCCTTATCTCCCGCCGTCGGGCCTGCGACTCAACATTTCCAACAGCGACACGAGTCCATGTGGGACGAAGATCGAGACGACTACATTTTCTAAAGGGGAGGGAGGTTGGAATCGCCAACAGCATGTAAGCGTCGGCATTAAAAATTTAGGAGAGTGACGGTAATCGATCGATATTTGCGTAAAAGCAAAACATTTACCCTCGGTGCAAGAGACTGATATAAACGCAGACGCTTTTTGCTGCTCAGACCGTATGGTTACTCGTCTTTACCTAGCTGAATTAGTGGACCGTTCCATTCCAGTCTTCTCGACTTTCACTTTGAAACGTATATCGACAATTTCAAGTGCTGTTAGATTGGAGGCAAAGCAGCTAGGTAATACAATTGTTTCCACGTGTAACGCTGATTACAGGTAAAGATAAACTCTCACATTTCTACAAATAATCAGACATCTATCCGGAAACCTGACACACAGGTATTTGGAGACCAATCATTCGGATTACAGTTTCACGGGTGTAATTTAAGTTGTAGAACTTCCAAACAGAATATCGCGTCGTGGTATATCACGTCTGACAATCCTGTTTATTATCTGTACGGATAACGACTCGCTTGACTGATTAGACTAAAGCTGCTGCGTAAACAAGAACGTTGTTGTGGGTATACTGTTATCTATGTAACGCTGGGCCCGATGAAATAGTTTGAAATAGTCGTACCGATTCACCCCATAGAAGCATGCATTGTAATCATAGCGACCAGACATACATATCTATCATTCCCGTTTTCAAGGCAACTGCTGTTTGTGTTCGATGCGTTAGGCTGTTTGCTTACCACTGTACAAACACTGTATACACGCGTTCTTTGTTGTAAACACTTACAGCCCACTAGCTCGGATTATTAAAAACCTGGGTTAGTGATATGCTTCATGGAGACGAGATTTGTTTTCGACTTTTAGGTTTTTAGAACTGAATAAATTCATCTGAATCGTATATTGCCGAGTCAGAAGTCGTCTGCAGCTACCTAATCACGTGATCGTACGCAGACGACCCGGGTACATTGCAGGAGCTTTTGAAACGGGTCTATGCGGATCGAAATCTGTCGTCTGCTCAACACCCGAACACTCTCACCAGCTTCCTTGCTCTCATTGAGCTATATTTTGTTTTTATCCAGGAAAGTCCAGAAATAAAGTGTACAGTTTGGTGCCGACAGACCAAGGACCAAAAAGCAAGAATGTGGGATTCGAACACACAACCAACGTCAGCATATAATTTGAGTCGACGTCGTTACGCACATCGACACCCACTCCTACGGTGACTGGTCTGCGGGATCCAGAACAGTGAGTAAGTGTGGTTTTACGCCGCTTTTAGCAATATTCCAGCAATATCATGGCGGGGGACACCAGAAATGGGCTTCACACATTGTACACACGTGGGGAATCGAACCTGGGTCTTTGGCGTGACGAGCGAACGCTTCAACCACTCGGCTACCCGACCTCCCCGGATCCAGAATAGGTCACTGGCAAGTGTTACAGCAAACAGGTTAAGGAGACATCTAACAGCAAAGTATTTGAATCAGAAACACAAGTTTGAGCGATCTGATAAATATGGAGCTCGTTGTTTGTTGTGCGTGTTATGACGACTTCGTTAATGGGGATTCATGGTCGATGACAACGACTGTATAATCTTCTCACTGACGTGTCTATTGTTAATGAAAATCGTGAAAGCGGCGTACCGTAACACAGTGCATGCAGTCATTGATTTATGATGCCGATTGCAGTAACATAGGCTTTGAGGAATTCACAACCCACAACCTATGTTCCCCAAACCTGTTCTAAAATTATCTTGTGGCAGGCATGATGTGAGAATTTCCAGGAAACATTCATTCATAGAGTATAGTCGTAATACAACGGAATGTCCATGTAATACATTGGATTAAAATACCATAAAAGATTTGACTGTAATGGTGGACTGCTATTTATCGGCCAAATAACATGCAGAGTTGTCTCCCTTAGATACCCGGACCAACATTGCGTGACACAATGTGCTGTGACTTGCCCCCACAATGAAAACTGGCCGCCACGTCATGCCTACATTAGTGTCAAATGTAAACAGCTTCTGACTTGTCGGAGTTAATCTCCTGTTTGCATTCAATGTGAAAACAACATACTCGAATGCCCATTGGTATGTTCTCGTATTTACGAAGCTACTCTATGGCTGTCATACACACCTGTGCGTGGAATTATAGGGATGACTGACTTTATAAGGCCACATATAAAAATATTCCTGTTTTTCATTACCGTTCGGCCCAAAAATTCAACCCGACCCTAAGATTTCTTTTATGTTTTACACTAGAGAAAATGCAACTTTTACTCTCAAAATGTGCATGAATATTTTTACACTTCTAAGTATTGATTATAAACAGTGTAAATTTCCACAGAAATCATGGGAGTTTGGACATAAAATAAAATGTAAAAATAAAATCCGACATATTTTTTTTGAAAAAGTGATGAGAAACAAGAACAATTTATGTGGCCTAACTTGTTTAATATGCATAAAGTACATAATATCACCAGTGTTTTATGTGGCCTAACTTGTATAAAATGCATAAAGTACATAATATCACCAGTGTATTTCGTGATAGGTATCGGAATCAATGTTGAAGCCAACACCCGGGTGTCTATTCCTAGCGTGCAGTACGACCCATGCCAATCGTCACGTGTTTCATTCGACTGCCATTAGGCCACCTAAATTGCCCACAGGCCTGAGGGAGGCTCAAGTATGGATTTCCTTACCACTTTTCATATTTTTTTTATAGCTCCACTCAAATATATGCTATTTGTTGATATTTGTGTGGATCAGATTTTGGAGTGTGTGGTAGCATTTAATCCTGTGAAATTAAAGCTATTTGTTCTTATTTGTGCTGAATTTTTTAAACTGATTTTGGAGTGTGAGGTAACATTTTATTTAAAAGGTCCAGCTGAAGTTTGATGTAGTTGGTATTGTGGTTTGTTCTCATACGTCGCACATATCACGGTGTTACTTGCATCAACAGATCTGAATATGAGTGGACATTTATTCGAGTCTCCTTGACACAAAAAACAATGCAAAAGAACTTAAGTTGAGATGATCCAGATCATCTGTCGTTAATACCTATGTCTGTGGCATAATGCATTTGTGTTATATGTAATGATATAACTATGTTGATGCGTTTGTTTATATTTGTGTGTTTATAAGTTAGACCGCCTTCGTGGTCTCAGTAAGATAGCGTGGGATAGCGCACCTGCCTGGGCTGGAAGTTGGTGCTTCCATCCCCCAGCCGCTTCGTACGACATGGTATAAAGGGTTATACTTGTTGTTACCCCGCCTGGCGACAGGGAAGAACAAAAACGCTGACTCGTAATCAGTAAACTCGGTGCTGGCGGACAGATGATAACGATCGGTGCTGATAGACAGATGATCACACAATCGGTGCTGACAGACAGATGATCACACGATCGGTGCTGGCAGACAGATGCTAACAGTCGGTGCTGACAGGCATATTATCACACAATCGGTACTGACGGATGATAATAATCGGTGCTGACAGACATATTATCACACAATCGGTGCTGACAGACAGATGATAACAATCGACACTGTTTGTCAGTTGATCACAAGATCGGTGCAGATACACAGATGATAACAGTCCGTGCTGATAGAGAAATGATAACAATCGGTGCTTACAGACATGAAAACAGTCGGTGCCGACACACAGTTGATAATGATAGGTGCTGACAGACATATTATAACAATCGGTGCTGACAGACAGATTATAACAATCAGCACTGTTTGACAGTTGATCACAAGATCGGTGCTGACACACAGTTGATAATAATAGGTGCTGACAGACATATTATAACAATCGGTGCTGACAGACAGATGATAATAATAACAATCGGTGCTGACAGACAGATTATAACAATCAGCACTGTTTGACAGTTGATCACAAGATCGGTGCTGACACACAGTTGATAATAATAGGTGCTGACAGACAGATTATAACAATCGGTGCTGACAGACAGATGATAACAATCAGCATTGTTTGACAGTTGATCACAAGATCGGTGCTGACACACAGATGATAATAATAGGTGCTGACAGACAGATTATAACAATCGGTGCTGACAGACAGATTATAACAATCAGCACTGTTTGACAGTTGATCACAAGATCGGTGCTGACACACAGTTGATAATAATAGGTGCTGACAGACAGATTATAACAATCGGTGCTGACAGACAGATTATAACAATCAGCACTGTTTGACAGTTGATCACAAGATCGGTGCTGACACACAGTTGATAATAATAGGTGCTGACAGACAGATTATAACAATCGGTGCTGACAGACAGATTATAACAATCAGCACTGTTTGACAGTTGATCACAAGAGCTGACACACAGATGATTTGACATCGGTGTTGATCAGCACTGTTTGACAGATCACAAGATCGGTGCTGACACACAGTTGATAATAATAGGTGCTGACAGACAGATTATAACAATCGGTGCTGACAGACAGATGATAACAATCAGCACTGTTTGACAGTTGATCACAAGATCGGTGCTGACACACAGTTGATAATAATAAGTGCTGACAGACAGATTATAACAATCGGTGCTGACAGACAGTTTATAACAATCAGCACTGTTTGACAGTTGATCACAAGATCGGTGCTGACACAGATGATCACACAGTCGGTGCTGACACAGATGATCACACAGTCGGTGTAGTAGTAGTACGATGATGGTACTGCCGCAACTGCGGCTTAGAGGCTTATTTGTGGGAACTAAGTCCCCCAGCCCCCAATAAAAACGGCGAGGGTCTAGCGAGAGGCATCCTTCGATGTGCAAAGAAAAAGATAGAAAGGTTAAAAAAGTAGCAAAACGTCCCCGGCAGCCACAATTCCCCGAAGCGATGCCGACGTAGATTTGCGTCATGGTCGATCCTATGGTTTTCGTCATTTCGGCACCGAGTCGGGCTTGGTATCGCGCGTACAACTTGTCGATGTGTTCGGCGGACATTTTTTGAATTTTGCAGGGAGTGAGGTCCCTACCGAAGTAT